CCTTAATAGAGTTACCTCCTGCTGTCTACAGGTTGGGGTCATGATGTTGAACAAGTGTGCAAAGTTTCAAAGCCATATGTCTATGGACTTTGAAAATATTTGAACTATTACAAAAACTTTAACGGAAATTCTAAGTCGAAAAAGGGGCATAATTCTGTCAAAATGCTTGATAGAGTTACCTCCTCCTGTCTACCAGGTTGGGGTCATGATGGTGAACAAGTGTGCAAAGTTTCAAAGCCATATGTCAATGGACTTTGAAAATATTTGAACTATTACAAAAACTTTAACATAAGTGGTTACGCCGACGCCGACGCCGACGCTCGGGTGACTGCAATAGCTCTACTTATTCTTATCGAATAGTCGAGCTAAAAAGGGGCAAATTTTATTGGCTATGAACTTTACAAATGTCTCAGGGTCACTAATAGTGGGGAATAGGTGTGTTACGCAGTACAATATATAAAGAAGAAAGAAGTTGTTTATTATTGTGACATGTCCATAGCCAATAACAAATAATGAGCATATGTGTGTATGATTATAATACACGACCCAATAGGCCTATAAGTCACCAATTTACTGTGTCGCAGACACCCATCACACACCACTTCATTCATATACATTTGTGCTTAAAGATATACTATGCGCATCTTTCAGTAATATATTTTTATTACAGAAATTTATTGAAATCTAATTAATTCTTACTGAATATGTCTTATATAAAATAAAACACATGCATGCAATGTATGGGAATCTGCGTTCCTTATTACGGGTCAAGTAAATTTGTGCCTTTCTTAAAAAAAACTGCCATATTCTTTTAATATCACTATATAGTCATAGTGCCAACTTATAGTGTAAAGGATTTAAAGCAAAATATTTGTGTGAAGCCAAATGATAATTATTTTATATTACAAAAAGACTGTGAAGCAAAAATCAATATTTTCAAATATCAAGTTTGAGCATAATATATCTTTAAATTCAATTTCACTATTGCACATACGACTACGGCAAACGCTCAAAAAGTTGTATAAACAATGTATAAGAGGTGTTTTGCCACTTGTAGGATGAGTAATAAGAGACATCTATTACATTTTTGTCACATGTTGGCCGAATCTCCAAAAATATTCTATTGTTTTTCTCAAAATCATCCACATACATGTCAGCCCCAACTAACACTGTTCGGTATACGCCCCTATATAAAGGGGACGTAACTTTGTTTACTCCACGAGCCAAATAGCGGGACCATTCGGAAAATAATGGGATGTACCGAAAAAGCGACACCTGCTGTCATAATATGAAAACAAAATATTGCAACTCGCATTATGCTTACTGCCAACTGCTTAGTGCGTACTGTAACATGCGATTATAATAATGCTAGCGTTGTCATCTTCGTTGTCAATGCGCACTGATCATGTCTTGCATTATATTTGTAATAAGTGAATATATTGCAGCATATGGATGCAAAGACACATCAAATTCGCCCAAGTATTGATCAAAAGCAATTGTTTATTGTGAAATAGTGTCGACAATGTAAGTGGCATATTTATAGCAAATTAAAGGAACATTTGTACTTTCAGGAACTTACCATTTTACATCTAGTTATATCAAGAACAAGCAAAGAATGTTACCTTAAACACCGAACATTATACGGGTGCACCCATTATACGCTGTCCTTAAAAAATATGCAATTAAACATATAGCGTATTAAAATATGTGAGTTTAATGGTTCAGAAAGGAACACATGAAGTTGCGATTACATGAAATTATAATGCATGACTGTATTTAGCAATACGTAGGTTTCCATTGTCATAAAGAAGTATGGAAGCAAGCGTTATGTAAGTCCAAATATCATCAAGCAAGATGGAACAAATGCACTAATTCTGTTCCATATTAGTATAATACATGTAGCTCACCCTAAATATATGCACATGTATATATGTAAGCTTGAATTAAAAACAAGTCAATATTGAATTTTGTTTATTTTCTGAATATTTTTAATGAGACTAGATTATATTTTAATTTGTTCATTAAGTAAATATATCACAGGTTTATTATACATAAAATATATATGAAAGAATATTATTTAATGTACACAGTACATTCATCCTTTCATAAACTTAACGTGAATTGGTCTATAATGAAATGTCTGTAATACAAGAAATAATTAATTACGTTGACAGTTTTTTATATTACACATAAAAACAAACCAGGAAAGAATTATACATGCATGGGTGTTATACATGATCCGATGCTATATGTATGTATGTAGCATATAATAAATTGTTCTATAGAACAAAATATTAATTATTATTCCACATAAAAATGTTCATACTACATCACCTTATTACTGTATCAACATTTTTTCTTCTGAGCAATATTTTATAGCAATATCGAAGTAATACGTTTCTACAGTTTTCATCAATATTTCATCAATATTTGAAATACTTTTGGAAAATGTGCTCAATGTAGACCAATTCACTTTAAAGCTGCTTGCCTCTAGATGAGCCAATAAAAATTCAAGAAAATCAACTTTGTGAAAAAATGTACTAACATTTTAAGAAAAGTAAAAATATTCACAATTCAAGTAATGATTTACATGTTATATGCAATGAATGACTTATTTTGCAGTATTCATTACCATATGATATTTCTGTGTGACTACAGCACAGTAAGGGCTATTTTTGTACATTTTGACCTTTATTTGGTAAATTACTTGGATTAAACATGTCACTTGCAAGGTATAAATTACTTTCTTAGTTCACTTGACAATAGTTTATATTTTGATTAATTTTCAAAAGTTTCATGAAAATGCGAATCTTAAGGCATGCCACTTTAAACAAACATCTATTTAAGTTTAGGCTATTTCTCAATAAAATTAGATTTAATAAATGAGCCGCGTCATAACAAAACCAACATAATGGGTTTGCGACCAGCATGGATCCAGACCAGCCTGCGCATCCGTGCAGTCTGATCAGGATCCATGCTGTTCGCTTACAAACCCTATTACAAGTAGAGAAACTGATAGCGAACAGCATGGATCCTGATCAGACTGCGCGGATGCGCAGGCTGGTCTGGATCCATGCTGGTCGCAAACCCATTATGTTGGTTTTGTCATGGCACGGCTCAAATGATAATATGGTCTAAAATTATTTGTGACATCACAACTCAATAAAGTTTTTAATTCTGTTAGATTTTCTTCAAGCAAAATACATCATATATATACATATGTTATCTGTGGCTGTTAACAACTTTGTATGAATGATTTTCCAAACTGACTCAGTTGATTTATTATAAGTGCAATAAGTTCAAAACATTTCATAAACAGAATCAGTCCTGGAAAAGACTGCAGAAAATGGAAAAGATACACAAAAGGATAGCCAATGAAAGTGCTTCTTATAAAAAGGCTTAATCCTTTAATTTAATGAAAATCAACTCAGCATCATAAAAGATATTCATGAAAAACCAATCTGAATCACAGACTTTTTCCGCCATGAACTTTTTCCCAAAATTAACAATAATAATAAGTTTTTTGACTAGACAATAAATTTATTCTAACTGTAATAAAGTAGCCATAAAGTTATCCTTTAAAACTGACAGTTAACTGTGGACATGCAACAATGCAGTTATAAAGTCAAAACTATTATCCTGACTATGTTATAAAGCAGTTTACCTATAAACTTGTTATTACAATAAAGAGGTAAGCAGAAATAAACTTGAACTATAAACTTGGCAATGTTGTAAAACATTTATGAATTTAACTATTAACTGACAATGTAGAAAAGCAGTTATCCTTTCAAAGCAGTAATGAAGTTATACATGTAGTTATGAAGTTAAACTAAAAACCTAACAATGCTATAAAGTGAAACTATAATCCCAATAATGTAGTAAAGCAGTAATAAAGTTAAACTATAAACATTCCAATATAATACAGCAGTTATAAAGTAAAACTATACACCTGACAATGTTATGAACACGTTATTGAATTAAACTATTAACTGACACTGTAGTAAAGCAGTTATAAGTTTAACTATAAACCTAACAATGTAATACAGCAGTTATAAAGTGAAACTAAAAACCTGACAACATTATAAACAAGTTATTAAATTAAACTATTAACTGGCACTGTAGTTAACAAGTTATAATGTTAAACTATAAACCTGACAATGTTATGAACAAATATTTAAATAAACTATTAACTGGCACTGTAGTTAACAAATTATAATGTTAAACTATAAACCTGACAATGTTATGAACAAATATTTAAATAAACTATTAACTAGCACTGTATTTAACAAATTATAATGTTAAACTATAAACCTGAGAATGTTATGAACAAATATTTAAATAAACTATTAACTAGCACTGTATTTAACAAATTATAATGTTAAACTATAAACCTGAGAATGTTATGAACAAATATTTAAATAAACTATTAACTGGCACTGTAGTTAACAAGTTAAACTATAAACCTGACAATGTTATGAACAAGTATTTAAATAAACTATTAACTTGCACTATAGTTAACAAGTTATAATGTTAAACTATAAACCTGAGAATGTTATGAACACATTATTAAATTAAACTATTAACTGGCACTGTAGTTAACAAGTTATAATGTTTAACTATAAACCTGACAATGTTATGAAAAAGTATTTAAATAAATTATTAACTAATACTGTAGTAAAGCAATTATAAAGTTAAACTATAAACCTGAGAACATAATAAAGCAGTTATGAAATTAAACTTTTGTTCTATAAACCTTTCAACATCACAGAATCAAAAAATAAATCACAAATTAAAATAAAAAAATAAATCACAAATTGGAATAAAAAAAATAATCACATATTTTAAAATAAAATTCAAAAAAGAAAAATATTATATATATATATGCATGGTTTTGTAATACTGTGTTTAGGGAGTCGCACAAAGCGACACAGATATGTGATAAAATTTCTTTTCTATACCACCAGTGTAGGTCTAGGCATTCTGGCTCTATACTGGTGGCTGCTCAAATTTTGAATATATTTATACTGAACTCCCTCAAAAAATACAATGGACAGTTCCGAAATCAAAAAAGGACAAGTCCATTTAACAAATTCAGTGGGGGCAAGAACAAGGATAAACTAGATTATGTGATCACCAGCCGTTTGTTGGTTTCCATGTTCCGACAATTTTGTCACCAGAATGTACGTAATAAACTTTGTGTAGTGAAGCTGTGCAACATGACTGAAATGAAGAAACCACTTTTAAAAGTATATTTAATTTGATTAAAGACAACATTAAAGGGACTCCACTGAGGCTTTTTAAACATGACGGGACTTGAAATAATTTTTCAAGATTAATGCTCCATTTGATTTAGATCCAGACCAATATTACTTGTTTGCAAGATTTCAGATCATTCCCTAACTCCTACTTTCCAAGATTATTATTCTGATTTTTAAAAATGACAAAAAAATTAAAAAGTGTTGCAATGCTTTTCACTCAAATTGCACTGAGAAAAGCACAAAAATGTGATTTTCAAATTATTTCCAAGTAAATTCCTTAATTATCTTTTGCATATCATTTATTCTATGTTTCCCAGTTGTTCTATGTAAAAAAAAATCAAATTTTATGATTTTAGGCTTTCGAACCTCAGTGGTAAAACTAGAAATGTGTCGTCACGCCATAGATGCCCCAGCATGCAGCCAAAATTTCAGATGTTATAATATTTAGTTCCAAATTTGTTTGCACAATTTATTTTTTTCATTTGAAGTTCAAAGCCCTTAAAACTATTCAATGTTAACACAAACCATTTTTAAACAAAGTTCAAGGCACTGAAACTATTCAGTGTTAACCTTTTGTAAATTGCATATTGCATATTTCTAGCCAAATTAATGGCTACATACATTTCCACAAAAGTATCAGTGCTGAAACTGAAAATTCAAAATTTTTCCAACATTCAAGAAAGATAACTTTGTCCAAATCATTGAACCATGACCAAATTCAAACTTGAACTGCTTATTCCTAAGATGTATCTATATGTCAAATTTGAGTTGAATGTGCACAACCATTGGGAAGCTAATGAACTGAGACTTAAAATTTCTGATTTTTTTTCAAAGTTCAAGAGGGATAACTCTGTCAGCTATCATCAAACCATGACCAAATTCGAAATTGACCAATGCATTCTTATGACATATCCATATCTTTAATTTGAGTTGAATATGTACAACTGTGGGGAGATAATGAATGGGAACTGAAAATTTCCTTTTTTTTTCAAAGTTAAAGTGGAATAACTCTGCCAAAAATCATCGACCCAGGACAAAATTTGAAATTGACCTGCGTATTGCTTTGATGTACCCATATGTCAAATCAGAGTTGAATGTGTAATACCCTAGAGGAGATAATGAACAGAAACTGAAAATTTCATATTATTTTCAATGCGAAAGGGACATAACTCTGCCATATATCATAGAACCATGACCAAATTCGAACTTGACCTGCGCATTCCTTTCAGATATCCATATGTCAAATTTGAGTTGAATATGTAACACTGTTGGGGAGATAATGAACAAAAACTGAAAATTTCATATTATTTTCAAAGTGAAAGGGGCATTACTCTGCAAAAAATCATTGAACCATCACCAAATTCGAACTTGGCCTGCGCATTTCTATAACATATCTATATGTCAAATTTGAGTTGAATGTCTTATACTGTTGGGGAGATAATGAACGGAAACTGAAAATTTCATATTATTTTCAAAGTAACAGGGGCATAACTCTGCCAAAAATCATTGAACCATGACCAAATTTGATCTTGACCTGCGCATTCCTTTGAGGTATCTATATGTCAAATTTGAGTTGAAAGTGTAATACCGTTGGGGAGATAATGAACGGAAACTGAAAATTTCATACTATTTTCAAAGTAATAGGGGCATAACTCTGCCAAAAATCATCAAACCATGACCAAATTCAAACTTGACCTGTATTTTCTCATGACATAACCATTTGTCAAGTTTGAATTGAATGTGTAATACTGTTGGAGTGATAATGAATGGAAACTGAAAATTTCATATTATTTTCAAAGTAAAAGGGGCATAACTCTGCCAAAAATCATCAAACCATGACCAAATTCAAATTTGACCTGTATTTTCTCATGATATATCCATATATCAAGTTTGAATTGAATGTTTAATACAATTTGGGATATAATGAACGGAAACTGAAAATTTCATATTATTTTCAAAGTAAAAGGGGCATAACTCTGCCAAAAATCATCGAACCATGACCAAATTTCGAACTTGACCTGTATTTTCTCATGACACATCCATATGCCAAATTTGAGTTGAATGTGTGAAACAGTTACTAAGATAATGAACGGAAACTGATGATGACGGAATGACGGAACAGCCAGGGCATAAAAATGTTCACTGTTACGCCAAGAATACATAAAGAGGGCCATAATAGCTCACCTGAATACCACTAGACCATGTAATAGTTTAAATGATGCAGAAATAAATCACTGGGTTATGTTCAAGGTCACAAAAGGTCATATTTTGATTTCTTGCTGTGGCATTTGAGCAATTTTTATAATGTACCACTTGGACTTGTTTCTGTACAGTTTCATCACTATTGGCCAAGGGGATTTAAGGAGATGTTGCTTAATTAAAAATGTTAACAGTGGACAGACACAGAGGTATCACAATAGCTCACCTTCAGCATTTTGTGCTCTGGTGAGCTAAATATTCAAAAATAGGTCACTAGGTCACTGGGATAATCTTTTTTTATTAGTTCAATACCACAAACAAAACTATACTATGTATGGCCAATTGGAGGGTCCAAGCTAAAAATCTCAAAAGCTGTTCTCTTGATGAAGTTTGAAGCAATATTGTGTGAAAAGTTGCTGCATATACACAACATGTGGCCTAAATCTTAAGGTTAGAGTTTTAACAAGAGCATAAGTACCAATGTACTTACATACAATGGATACAAGAACAACCTTGAACCCAAGTCCGTTTTTAATTTCATTTCTTCAAAATAATTCTTAAATTCCAGGAAAACAAGGACACTTGTGAACATTATGGATATTTGCTACAGCCTGTTTTCTATACATAACTTCATTATGGGATAAATGATCAGCATAGAATTAAATATATATTTCCTTAGATCTTTTAAATACAATTTACTTTTTAAAATACTTACATGCCATGGATAAAAGTACAACCTTGAACCTAATGGATATTGACTACAGTCTATTTTCCCACTTGCAGTTGTTAATTTCCCAAGTTCTTGAGTCATTCTACCCAAACTGAAATTTCAATGTACAGTGATATATATAGCGGATGTTTTTTCCTTTTTATACAGAATTTATTTTCATGGAGCGGTATGAAGCCATTTAAGAAGTAATACAGTAATTCTGTTCTTGCGTGAATTATGTCATTCAACTTCCAACCCACCACCATCCCCAGTGCTATCAGTTAGTAGTGTTGGGTATCGGGCTCAAAAATCACTATCGATAATCAGACCACCTCAATCGATTGTCTGCCAATAGTATAATCGCGTTTTGCATTTTAACGGCCCTTTTTTCTGCTAAGGTACCAATCCTATTATGTATTTTTTATACAGTAGTGACCACATTTTGAGAATAAATAAACTCTTGTCATCAAGATTTAAGTAAGATTTACTCTTTGAATTAAAAACAAACAGCACAAACTTTGTAACAGGCAATTTTTGTATTACACAACTTTATGGCAGTCAATATTATTACAAATGTACTAGTCAACAGGTCAAAATATTGTAGATCACTAATTTAACTACAGTAGATATGTAAGTTTATGATATTATGTTATTACACACTATAATTTTCTAAAGTAGTATTAACAATATAGTATAGGCAATTCAGCATTGGTAGAACATTCAAATAATTGATTTTTAAAAAGGACTATCGATTGTTGCCGATTTTGGGGTGGTCCGATAAGTTATCGATTTTCAGAGACAATCGGGACAACACTATCTGTTAGGGTCAATAATGTTCCTTCATAAACAGTATGTTGAATTAATCAACTCCTATTAACTCAATTAGTACAGCGTTGCAGTGTGAATCTGGAACCCAGATTTGTTCCCTGATTGATCGCATAATCCTTTCTACAGTCATTTGCAATGTAACCTCTGCTCTGGCATGTACCTTGAGAAATAAAGGCAACTAGTACTGGTGAACTGCTTTGCAGCCTACCAAGGAATGAAGTGGCAAAACTGTGATCTTGTGAATTCAAAATGGCTTACTGCCATGTTCCGGAGAATGAACTACCAACACCACCACCACCACCACTCAATATCACTGTTGTATGCTGGCTGATTTACACTATGTCATATTTTCACTTCTTTGTCTCAAAATTTAATGTCCAACTTTGTTTTCCCTTCGTGTTTTTTTTCCGCATTTTCGCACTTTTAGGCAAAGAAGCAAAATACAACATGGCATAATCAGCCACCATACAAAAGTGATATTGAGTTGCATTAATGAGATATAAAACAGAAATTTCTCATCGTTGGTTTATTAACTCACTGCTGAACCATTAACATTTATCATTTATGTTACATGTTAATCAAACCGTCGGTATCCGACGATGAAATTTCTACACTTACATTAATTCTGGATGACCTTCAACCGGAGCTTTACCGAGAACAGCCTGCGGGAATTTTTCATTTGGAGCATCGAGGCCAAAAGCTGTCCATCCACAATCAACAACTATAGTGTTAGTCTCCGGTTTGTGACTCACGACGGTTGTTGCAACTTTGCACGCCACATCATCAAATGTACAAGAATTTAATAGAACTTGCATGTAATCTAAAATAATAGTTTAAGAACAAAAGTAAAGTCAATCTGTTTAAAAGTCTTTAACCCGTAAACCCTAAATTTGTTAAATGGACTTTCTCTGCTTTGAATATTAGGACAGCCCATTTTTATTGTAAGGGTTTGTGATAAAAAGATCCTAATATTTATCAGCAAACAGACTATAAAGTATGGTCAGACTGCAAGAATGTGCAATATTTCCATGACGACTCATAACATTGGCAAGTCTTCATCCACACAAGCAGGGATAAGAGGGCAAATTTCTAACAGGGTTCACATTCTTTCCACAATTCTGGAGTCACATATATACATGTTTGATTATATTATGATTTTCCTGGAAACACTGACCTCAGATGCCGATTCCTGCATTATTTTACGGCACAAGCCCTTACCCTAGTAGAGCCAATGACCTTTTGCAAGCTACCTGTATGGCTTCCTCACATGAAATAATCCAAGTACCTGACAGCTTCAAAGCCAAGATGCAGAAGTGATTTGTAAGTTTACCACTTGGCAACAAAGGCTCCTGCACTATCTTACAAGTAGGAATAACAACATTTAATATAACCAATAAACCAGTTAACATAGCTTGATTACCCCTTAAAAGACTTTGGAATTGAAATGTCATATTATATGCACTGTGTATATTTGAAACTGTACTTTCCTTGTCTCTGAAGGAGTGACCAACATGCCAAAAGGCGTTTAAAATAAAAAAAAAGTATATTTTTATGTGCTGCTTATGTTTGAAAGGTTTCTTTATTGGAAATGGCTGCCATGCCGTAAAGGCCTTTGGAATCAGTAAAAAATCAATTTATATATGCAATGCTTTTGTTTAAAACAATGTAAAATAGATGATTCTAACACAACCTGCATTTTTCCTTATTAAACATAGAAGGACAGAAAGTGTATGTAAATGCAATCAAATCACTGTTGACAATCTATTTTTAGACATGATGAAAACATTAAAAATCTGATGCACTGAAAATAAGCACCTATACAAATCAGTCACGATTTAACTTGATATCAGGTAAAACAGTATTTATTTGCTGATGTTAAGTTAGAATCAAAATAATACATCACAAACAGTGATTTTATCACTGAACTTATATCACTGTTTTGTCTTTCACATGTGCAGCATCATGAAATTACATCTCCCATCCAAACATTACTAACAATGATTTCATTAAGCGATAAAATCCCTGTTTGGGATATATTATTTATTAATTATGCAAGAAGAAAATATTGTTTACCATAAAATATATAGTTGCCAGGATGCATCTCTGTCAGTGTTTTCATGCCTTCGATAGGTTTACTGCTTGATGGTGTAGATCCACAGCCAACTACCCTACACTCCACTCCATTCTCTGCTAATCTGTAAAATAACCATTCAAATCATTTTATTAAAACAAATTGAGCCACGTCACGACAAAACCAACATAATGGGTTTGCGACCAACATGGATCCAGATCAGCCTGCGCCTCCGCGCAGTCTGATCAGAATCCATGCTGTTCGATATCAGTTTTGCTACTTGCTATAGGGTTTGTAAGCGAACAGCATGGATCCTGATCAGACTGCGCGGATGCGCAGGCTGGTCTAGATCCATGCTGGTCGCAAACCCACTATGTTGGTTTTATCGTGACACGGCTCAAATTATCACATACCCATGAGTCTTTTGAGATTCTGTACAAACGATATTGCAAAGCCAGGCATATATTTTGACAAGACAAGACATTATACAAAACATTATACAAACATTGTGTAAATACGTGCTAAATTAAAATACATAAATAAGTTACATTATCTTTAAAAAGTCTTTTCTTCGGGTACATGATAAATAAAATATCATATTTGTGTAGGTTCAATACTCAGGCTCACATAATGATTATATGATTTTATTCAACTCATATTGAACTTACACTCACACAATATCCTCTATGTGTTAGAAAAAGAGGGAATAAAGTAACTACAGAATTGAATATTTTAAAATATTTGCATTCGATTAAACCCTTTACCTGCTGTATTTATGTAACACACTTGCCCAGTTATGAATTTGGAACAGTCCATTTAAAGTTTCAGGGATTTCTACATTAAAATACAAAAACTGAGCTACCAACAGTTTAGAGAGCCTGGTCTGAATTAACACAAATTCAGGCTGACCGGGATTTATAATGGTGGCAAAGTCAAATCTTTTTTTTTGGCTCCAGTAGGGTTTGAGTTAATTATATATATATTCCTCCTTTTGGGGGCAAAGCGGAAACAGCCTTTATTGTATGGTCAATTGCATAAGAAATCATAGTTCAATCACCTCTTTTTCAATGCAACAAGCCTCTCAGTTGTGTCTTGTTGTACTTTCACTTTTGCTTCAGTGTCGGGTGTGTAAGTATTACCACAATGTGTGTAAAGTCCTTGAAACTTCACATTAGGTGCTGCATCTGCAGTCTTCCCTATTTGAATAGCCTCCTCACTGTCCCATAAACACCCAGCTGTAAAAATATAAATCATACAGTTTTTATTATTGTTCCAAAAACATTAAGCTGTAAAATTATAAACTATAGAGTTAAATCACTGTTCCAAAAAATATCAAGTTGTAAAATTATAAGCACTATAATTTTAATTATCACTGTTCCAAAAATATCAAGCTGTAAAAATATAAACCATGAAGTAACATCACAGTTCCAAAAACATTAAGCTGTAAAATTATAAACTATAGAGTTAAATCACTGTTCCAAAAATATCAAGTTGTAAAATTATAAGCACTATAATTTTAATTATCACTGTTCCAAAAATATCAAGCTGTAAAAATATAAACCATGAAGTAATATCACTGTTCCAAAAACATTAAGCTGTAAAATATGAACTATAGAGTTATATCACAGTCCAGGAAACATGAAGCTGTAAAAATATAAACCCTACATTACATTGTAAAAATATCTACACATGTAGCTGTAAAAATATAAACAGTACAGTTAGTTCACTCTTCCAAACATATCCAGCTGTAAAAACATAAACCATGCAGTTATATCATTGTTCCAAAAACATCAAGCTGTAAAAATATAAACTCTACATTTATATCACAGTTCCAAACAAGAGACCTTTGACCTAGATACCTGGCTGACACAGCTTCTCATAGAAGAACATTTCTATTGTTTCATTAAAATTTTTCATGCGTGTAGGAGATATGCTCTGGACAAAATCTCTATTTTTTATCTTTAGTGACCTTGGCAATCATCTTTAGTGACCTTGACAGTGCATATATTAACCTAAATCACATGTTTTACACCAGCAGTCATGATAATGACCATTTGTGTTTCAATCCATCTATAAATGATAAGTAAATGGTCCGAATATGCATTTTCAAATTTTTACCTGAACTTTGACCCCTATGTTTGACTTGACCTTGGCCGTAGGGACCTAAATTTTGCACACTATACTCTGCCTAACAATGGTGAACATTTGTGCCAAGTTATATTGAAATCCCTCTTTGTATGTAGAAGTTTTGCTTTGGACAAGCATCTTTAAATGACCTCTAAGTGTGACCTTGACCTTTGACCCAGAGACCTGGTGCAGTGCACGATACAGCTTCTAATAGTGGTGAACATTTCAATGAAGTTTCATTAAAATTCCTCAATGCCTGTCTGAGATATGCTTCGGACAAAATATTAGACGCTGCCCAACCGCAAATCCGCCAGGGGGGAAACAATAATTATGCCATATAAATCTAAATCCATCACCTATGTGGTATGTGTGATTATATAAAAGAGGGTCTTTCATTAAAAGTTTAAGATAAAACATTCCATATTAAAGAAGAAATTGATTTTATAATAAAAATGTACTGTATGTATTAATATGTAATGGGTGTTTGTCAAACTAAGAAACAGCATGACTCGTTCATAAACAGCAGATAAAAGATCCATCGATAAGACAAATTCCTTAAAAACTAAGTACCACATGAAGATATTTGTTGTAGCAATTTTTCATATTTCCTTTTTATAAATTCTAATTCTATACTCATGTATCAGTTAAGATTATCAAAAGAGCTTTATCTTTTTGATGTGTTTAAACCAAAACTAAACAAAAATTGATGATGTCAACATTTTTTACGTTGTTACACATGTGTACACATAGAACGTTACCATGATAGTATGTTTATTTGCGCTGATGATATAGGATAAGTAAAGCACTGCTGCAGTGTAGACTTACATCTGGTGGCCTTGGATGAATCAAAATAAAATGATTTAATCTAGAACTGATGAATACAGTGAAACTGCATAGAATATATTTTATCTTGATATAGATATATTTTGTGTAGTGTCTTATTCATAAGGATATATGTACAAAGTAGTACAAGGTATGTGCTAAATTTTCCCTATTTTCATAAAAAGAAATTCACTTGTTAAAGCTTAACTTGGGAAGGTTGGAAATTTATTATCCTGTGTCACTTTAAAATTCTAACTGTTGGTCAATCACCATTATCACAGTCAATCTTTTGAAATGTATAGTTAATTCAGCTCAACTCAAAAATGAAAGAGCAATTATGCTGGGCGGGCACTATTTTATTTTTTCTAAAAGTAAACAAATAAAAAATTTAAATAAAGAAAAAAGTAAAAAAGCCAAAGTATGTCACTAGGTCAAAATCTAGATCAGCTGATAACAAAGTTCAATGTTACATAAAAAACTGGGCATGGTCCAAATTTCATGGCTGTACATCTAAGGACAAGAAATTATGTCTATAGGTCAAAATTTAGATCAGCTGATATAAATGTTCAATGTTACATCAAAAACTCTGCAGGTCAAATTTCATAGCTGTACAACTAAGGACAAGAAATCATGTCACTTTATCAAAATCTAGATCAGCTGATATCAAACTAAAACTGTGCATGTGGTCAAATTTTATACCTATACATCAAAGGACAAGAAAAAAGGTCACTATGTCGAAATCTAGGTCAGCTAATATCATGGTTCTATTTTACATTTAAAACTATGCACATGGTCCAAACTTCACAGCTGTAGTCAAAGGTCAAGAAAGTAGGTAACTAGGTCAATTACTTTCTTCAGATCTTTTAAAAACTTAGCAAATTGTATTATTGATGACATCAGTTAAAAACCTAAATTATTTCTTATTTTATCCCAATCTGGCATAGTTAGCACAAGAGCACTGCATAGGTGTGGCAATATACGTCCGAATGCAAATTTGTTTTAAGAAAATAAAATTTAAAGTAATCAAAAACAAGAATTTGTAACAGAGTTACCAACGTCCCCCGCCTCGGGGAAGTTTTATATCAAGCATAAAATTGTGCTATTTCAAAAGATCTCAGTCCAAAACAAGCAAATTCGTTGACTTTATATCCCCCACCGAGTACTGGTTATTACTAACACAACAACTGAAGACACAAGCAATTATCATAGTATTGCAAGCAATCCATAAGTCCCCTACCGGTTAGAACCCCAGCAACATTCTGATGGGCCATTGGCCATTCAATTTTACCAGTGAATGAATGACATGAATGAACTTAAATCTTTTGAGTTCTTAAGGGGGCAGGGGACCTAAAAATGAAAAATTTTGTATTTCAGTGTGACCAGAAACACAATTCCAAATATTTCAAAATATGTTTCACAGGCAGATAACCAGTTGCAGAGCATTATTCAATGATATATGACATATATTGAAAAAAATAATAGTTTGCATGCATTGCTCCTTCAAAAAATGACTGACAGCAATTTATATTTACCCCCACCCAGCCAAAATCACACCTAAAATATACCAATATGGGCAATCTTCATGAAGGTGCAGCATACTCCAGAATCCGCCCGATTCCTTTAAAAATATCAGTAACACGCAGTGCAAGCTATGGCATTTTCAGAAATGACAAATAAAGTGTCTGTCATACGTTTAGATTTTTCACAAAATTTATCTGAAATTTCTTACTTGTTTGGCGCCAACTGTCAAAGCTTGATTTTTAACTTTTTCACCTCTATTCGGAGAGTCACAAATACATACAAAGCTACCAAAATGCTTAGTTTCGGGTAAAAACCCAAAAATATATCTCATTTCCTACACACAAACAAGAAAGAATTACAATGACAGAGAAATATCAGAAGTTATCAGTACCTTCAAAACTCCATGTCTGAGTTATTAAAAAATTTCACCGGGGCCATCATTCGAATATGTCCCCTGCCCCCTAAGTTTGTCTATATTACAGTAATGTGTTAAGTTTCCCTGCCTAGTAAGGAAATTATGTTTATACAACCTTGTCATATTATTACGATGTGGGATTTTAAAGTAAATCCTATAAGGAATGAAGAAGTTGGGGTAAAAAATACCAATTTCTCGAAAAAAATCTAAGTTCAAGGGGGACATAATTCTGGAAATAGTCTTGCTAGAGTATTTAACCTTCTCAAAACCTTCTTAAAAATGATTTGAGTGATAATAAGAAACATATATATGAAGTTTGAAGTAGATAGTTTTTGTGCTAGAGTTGTAAACCTTGTCACATATGATGTGGTTGATGACCAGAAACTTATATTTAAAGTTTGAAGTAAACACCTTAAGAAATAAAGAACTTATACGGCCATGATTCTCAGTTAAAATTTACACCCCTATCAAAATTTGATAAAAAATACAGATTCGAAAAAATGCAAAACTGTTAGTCTTTTTACAAACTTAATCCATCTGTGAAGTTCTACTGAAATTATTTTCAACATCATAAAAATAGTTTTTTTAAATCAGCGGTTTGAAAAGTATATCCATTTTACCTTTTTAAAATTCCAGAAATGTCCGTGACAAAGTACCTTTTGCTTTAAAAAGGGCTGCTTATAATTACATTGATGATATCTTATTGGAATTTACTTTTAAATATCACATGCTACATAGATTTCTAATTGTACAATTGATATCACGAATTACTTGCTTAAATAAGCTTATATACCTTTTTTAAAAACTCATATACAAAAAGTGCAAATCAAGATAAAATTATACTGTTTAACTGTGACTACGATTTGTATCATTATTATAAGAGCTACAACCCAGTGTAATTAATACTAGTTCTTGTCATAAATAAAAACCGTAGTATCACTGCTAGCAATTTTATGCGATGTATATGCTTTATTATTAGGTAAATGATCACCTTGCTAAAATTCAAGTACTATGTAAAAAACTTTCAATCATAAACGCAAACCAAAAAAGAAGCCCACTTAATACCCCAAAAAACATACATATAGACATCCGCCAATGATATTTAATATAAAACCTATATCTTTCTTGACTTTATAGTATACTGTTTCAAACTTTGGAGTAAAATAAAGCATCGAATAGTATTTAATGTTAAATAATGGTAAGTTAAGACATAGCGATACAACATATCAGTCTAAACCAAATGAAACATTAAGACCTGAATTCAAAGGTAAACATGTATCAAGCAGTAGAACAGTTTACCAGATCAAATACATTGCTGGTGCTAAGATTTCAATCATATATTCACTTTCTTTTTCAATTCAGATATGGTATATAAAATAACGAACCTTTCATTGTCAAATCAAAATTTTGATGCTAATATAGATACATTTATATTCAGATATAAAGTTTGGATATAGACATTCGAATACAGTTATATTCATTACCTAATGATAGCTATAGTAATCTTTTCATTTCTCAAAAATGATATTGAAATTGGAATGGCATCTGTAGTAAGACAATTTATAAATGTTTTCTGAACTCTATAACAACTAATTCAATCCAATGAAAACGTACATGTATCAATATGGTAATAATACTAGATTCTACTTTTATAACAAATAAACATAAGCTTTTAACGAAGAGAAACATTCAGCTAGTATATTATATAAGCTATATTACGCAAGCATATCAAGTTATAGGACCGGTGTCAATTTCGCTAATGATACGTTTGTTATTCACTGAAACTGCTTTTTTGTAGCAAACAAAGAAAATCCTTTTCCTTATATGTGTATAACAAAAACTTAAAAAAATAAAAAAATTCAAATTTTTGCTATACACATATAAGGAAAATCAATGACCCCCTGGGGCCAATTTTGACCCCAGGGCTCTTATTTTGTACAAACTTGGTAGACATCCATTAGAACATGTTTCATGCTAAATATCTTAGCTCTAGCCCTTTGGGTTCTTTTAAAAGAAGATTTTTTAAGATTTTACTATATGCATATAAAGAAAATCAATGACCCCCTGGGGCAGGGCCAATTTTGACCCCAGGGCTTTTATTTGAACAAACTTGGTAGATACCCATTAGAAGATGTTTCATGCTAAATATCTTAGCTCTAGCTCTTTGGGTTCTTTAAAAGAAGATTTTTTTTTACTATATGCATATAGGGGAAAATCAATGACCCCCGGGGCGGAGCCCAATTTTGACCCCAGGGCTTTTATTTTGAACATACTTGGTAGAAACTCACTCATGCCAGAATCATTCTAAGCTCTAGCTCTTTGGGTTTTTAGAAGAAGATGTTTAAAGTTTTTCCTATTGGTTGCCATGGCAACCAGAGTTCTGCATGGAATGGAAATTCTTGAACAACTTTGTTAAGGCTTCACACAAGGAACATCCCTGTGAAGTTTCAATTATGATCTGCCTTATGGTTTCAGAGGAGATGTCGTTTTAAAAGTGTGAACGGACAACGGACGATGTACGGATGGACGAACAGATCGACGGGACGAAGAGTGATCCTAATAGACTCACCCTGAGCATATGCTCAGGTGAGCTAAAAATGTGCACACTACGAACATGGTGATAATATGAAAAGTATTATATTGTGATATTAATACGAAAAAAGAACATGTAATGTTTTTCAATGATAAAAACATTTTCACTTTTAGTATATGGTTAAAAATGATAACGAACATTTTTCATACTATCCGGGACAAACCATTTTTTTATGAATTTTATTGTTAAACTTAGAAGATCTAATTTAAAAAAAATACGGCATCAAACAAAATTAAAACAATACAATTAAAGAATCTAAATACACGTTCATTTTTTATAAATTGGACGGCGACAAACACGGACCTGTCATTTTCGTAATTTTAGATATTATTAAACAATTATTCATGATAAAATGACGAATTATTGTGTGCTATTTAAGGTAACATCTATCCTCTTAAATCAGCATTAGACTTATAGGCAAATAAACCTGCAAGAATTGAGGATAGACGGATGGCGACAAGTAAAAAACTAAGCGGTGTAAATTCTATATGAGAACTGCCGTTATAGTGAAAAAGCTGGGAAAAATTTTTAAATCAGGAAATTCTTGAAATTCAGGCTATTTGTTGCCATAGCAACCAGAATTTTCAACATAGTAGGAAGCCCAAAAGAAAAAGATGTGCAT